TTAAAATAGCTACAGATATCTGAACAGTAGAAGTTATTTTGACCCATTAAAGTAATGAAAATAATAATCTTTATTTTGTTAGCACCTTACAAATATGTCTTTGTTGAGTCATGTACAGTTAAGAATGACTACATACACTCTTGTAAATGTAAAGGATTAGCGCCACATTTGAATAGTTTTTTCAATACATCTGAATGATTCTGAGAGAAAAGTCAGAATGTTCAAGCCAAGTGTATTTATATAGCACCTTTTAACACGAGGCATTCAAAGAAACAAATGAAAAACCTTAAGAGCGATATAAGTCAGAATAAGACAATGACTTTTCCCCCAAATTCAGATTTTTGGACTTTATTCTCAGATTGTTACATTTTTCAGAATTATTTTTAGGTTATGGTTTAATGGTTTTAAGTGCTGGACAGAAAACAATATCAACTTCTTCATGTCTCTTCTACATCAACATGTGTCCCCTCTTCTTCATGTCTCTTCTTCATCAACATGTGTCCCCTCTTCTTCATGTCTCTTCTACATCAACATGTGTCCCCTCTTCATGTCTTTTCTACATCAACATGTGTCCCCTCTTCTTATGTCTCTTCTACATCAACATGTGTCCCCTCTTCATGTCTCTTTCTACATCAACATGTGTCCCCTCTTCTTCATGTCTCTTCTACATCAACATGTGTCCCCTCTTCTTCATGTCTCTTCTACATCAACATGTGTCCCCTCTTCTTCATGTCTCTTCTACATCAACATGTGTCCCCTCTTCTTCATGTCTCTTCTACATCAACATGTGTCCCCTCTTCTTCATGTCTCTTCTACATCAACATGTGTCCCCTCTTCTTCATGTCTCTTCTACATCAACATGTGTCCCCTCTTCTTCATGTCTCTTCGACATCAACATGTGTCCCCTCTTCTTCATGTCTCTTCTACATCAACATGTGTCCCCTCTTCTTCATGTCTCTTCTACATCAACATGTGTCCCCTCTTCTCCATGTCTCTTCTTCATCAACATGTGTCCCCCCTCTTCTTCATGTCTCTTCTACATCAACATGTGTCCCCCTCTTCTTCATGTCTCTTCTACATCAACATGTGTCCCCTCTTCTTCATGTCTCTTCTACATCAAACATGTGTCCCCTCTTCTTCATGTCTCTTCTACATCAACATGTGTCCCCTCTTCTTCATGTCTCTTCTTCATCAACATGTGTCCCCTCTTCTTCATGTCTCTTCTACATCAACATGTGTCCCCTCTTCTTCATGTCTCTTCTACATCAACATGTGTCCCCTCTTCTTCATGTCTCTTCTACATCAACATGTGTCCCCTCTTCTTCATGTCTCTTCTTCATCAACATGTGTCCCCTCTTCTTCATGTCTCTTCTACATCAACATGTGTCCCCTCTTCTTCATGTCTCTTCTACATCAGCATGTGTCCCCTCTTCTTCATGTCTCTTCTACATCAACATGTGTCCCCCTCTTCTTCATGTCTCTTCTACATCAGCATGTGTCCCTCTTCTTCATGTCTCTTCTACATCAACATGTGTCCCCCTCTTCTTCATGTCTCTTCTTCATCAACATGTGTCCCCTCTTCTTCATGTCTCTTCTACATCAACATGTGTCCCCTCTTCTTCATGTCTCTTCTACATCAGCATGTGTCCCCTCTTCTTCATGTCTCTTCTACATCAACATGTGTCCCCTCTTCTTCATGTCTCTTCTACATCAACATGTGTCCCCTCTTCTTCATGTCTCTTCTACATCAGCATGTGTCCCCCTCTTCTTCATGTCTCTTCTACATCAACATGTGTCCCCTCTTCTTCATGTCTCTTCTACATCAACATGTGTCCCCTCTTCTTCATGTCTCTTCTACATCAACATGTGTCCCCTCTTCTTCATGTCTCTTCTACATCAACATGTGTCCCCTCTTCTTCATGTCTCTTCTTCATCAACATGTGTCCCCTCTGTGGAAAGAGACTCTGAAAGTTTCAGGAACAAAGATTCTCTCTCTTTTTGATCCATTTCTATAAAAACCTGTCTGAAAATGAGCTGATCAGATTTTGGCCACTTGATGATGTCATAACGATATTTTGTCTTGTGTAACCATTAGCCAATCAGCAACCAAGGTAACCCCCTCCCCCCCCCACCTTATCACCTGAATCTCCTCCTAGAGCACCATTGTGTTCTTTTTAACCAAATCTCTCTCAGAGGGGCGTGGGGAGGGGCTCCTTATTTTCATCTAAAGTAACAGACAGAGAATCAGCACTTTGGAAACAGGGCTGAAACAGAGGGGATTATGGGTAATGCTGCAATGATCTGTTTGGTGTTTCAGCCAATCAGAGACAGGCTCTGTATATATCTGAGACCTGTGATATATTGATGAAAAACAGTATAATAGGGGACCTTTACATTTTACTTGTAGAGGTTTTCCAAGTCAAATGTTTACAATAACAAGGGATTAACATTGATTGAAGTTGTTTAAGATAATTATATTGAAGATTTTTGTTCAGATGTCTTGCATATTATCATGAATTGAACTCGTCTCTTGTGCAGAATCAGGACTTAAAAACTCACCTTCAGCAGAAGAGCCTCTCTACGCCCCGTGATGAAGGTAGGACTGTAAATGTTCCTCATAACGGCGTGAACATATATTTTACATTTCAAACATTAAATGAAATGTCATGGTTAAGTAAATTAATCAAGATATAATTGTTCCCTTGAATGTTTTTCTTTTATCTTTCAGGACTCGTTCGGCAAGTTGAGAGACGCTCCGTCAGATTAGCAAATTGTTCAGAAAGGATTTTCAGTTCATCTCAGATAAATGTTCAGTCAAATATATTCAACCCAAATCTCCCTAGAGCTGGAAGTACATTTTGTATATTAATATTGCATTTTCTTTTGTTAACTCTGCTCTGAGTATTTGGTCTCATTTAACTTTTCATATCTGTGTCATTTTCCTAAAAGATAAAGGACTTTGTGTTATTTGTTTTCATGTATTCAGTGAATTTTTACTTGAAAGTATTTTCTTTGAACTTCCATAACTTTCTAAGCCATTAAAGTCCACACATTTAAACAAGAGTTGTGTTCAAGATGCCCTATTGTGCTTTTTGGGGGGTTTCACTTTCCTGATATATAGATGTTATGGCATGTGAATGGTCTGCTAAGGTTAAACAAAGGAGTCGAGCTGGTTTCACTCTGCATGCTGATGAGGGGAAGTGGAAACAGGTGAGCAGGTGAACCAGGGTCACGTGACTGCACTCTGAGAAGTGAGGAGTTCAACATGACTCTGAGAGTGTGGAGACATCTGGTGGACAGAGGGAGGAAATACACTGCATCCATTATTAATTCAGGTCAAAGCTGTAAGGCTTTACATCAAAATGTAGTTATTATCAGACATGGCAAAAGTACACACATCCTTTACTCAAGTAGAAATACAGATACTCGTGTTTAAAAATACTCTGGTGAAAGTAGAAGTACTGACTAAACTTCTTTACTCAAGTAAAAGTAAAGAGGCTTTGAAATGTACTTCAGTAAAAAGTACCCATAACTAGCAGCTGTTTTAAAGAGTACCTGACCTCCCTTTATATTAATAGAACAATAATGTCATTGTTAGCTAATGAATGTTTCCATGCTGAACAACGGCAACATGACAACGTTTTCATTGGTCCCTCTTCTTTAGAGAAGACCAGGAAATGATGGATACACGGATCGTGTTCAAATCAATAGGCACGCAATGACTCTAAATAATAATGATCACGCCACCAAACACACATTCAAACTAAAGGAACCAGCCTGTTTGGGAAATGTGAGAAGTAGAAAGTACAGGTATTTGTGTTCAACATGTAAGAAGTAGAAAGTACAGGTATTTGTGTTCAACAGGTAAGAAGTAGAAAGTACAGGTATTTGAGTTCAACATGTGAGAAGTAGAAAGTACAGGTATTTGTGTTCAACATGTAAGAAGTAGAAAGTACAGGTATTTGTGTTCAACATGTAAGAAGTAGAAAGTACAGGTATTTGTGTTCAACATGTAAGAAGTAGAAAGTACAGGTATTTGAGTTCAACATGTAAGAAGTAGAAAGTACAGGTATTTGTGTTCAACATGTAAGAAGTAGAAAGTACAGGTATTTGAGTTCAACATGTAAGAAGTAGAAAGTACAGGTATTTGTGTTCAACATGTAAGAAGTAGAAAGTACAGGTATTTGTGTTCAACATGTAAGAAGTAGAAAGTACAGGTATTTGGGTTCAAAATGTAAGAAGTAGAAAGTACAGGTATTTGGGTTCAAAATGTAAGAAGTAGAAAGTACAGGTATTTGGGTTCAAAATGTAAGAAGTAGAAAGTACAGGTATTTGGGTTCAAATTGTAAGAAGTAGAAAGTACAGGTATTTGGGTTCAACATGTAAGAAGTAGAAAGTACAGGTATTTGAGTTCAAATTGTAAGAAGTAGAAAGTACAGGTATTTGGGTTCAAATTGTAAGAAGTAGAAAGTACAGGTATTTGGGTTCAACATGTAAGAAGTAGAAAGTACAGGTATTTGAGTTCAAATTGTAAGAAGTAGAAAGTACAGGTATTTGTGTTCAACATGTAAGAAGTAGAAAGTACAGGTATTTGTGTTCAACATGTAAGAAGTAGAAAGTACAGGTATTTGGGTTCAACATGTAAGAAGTAGAAAGTACAGGTATTTGTGTTCAACATGTAAGAAGTAGAAAGTACAGGTATCTGTATTCAAAATGTAAGAAGTAAAAGTAAAAAGTCATCAGAAAAATAAGTAGTGGAGTAAAGTACTGATACCAGAGAAATGTACTTAAGTACAGCAACGAAGTATTTGTACTCCACTACTTCCCCCCTCTGGTTATTATACCTGAAAGAATGCAGATGTTAACATTAAAAACAAGGCAGGTTTGTTGTGGCATATATAATATCTATATTCAGCTCCTCTGTCACCTGAAGTCAGTTAACAAACACTGCAGACAATAAATACACAAATACCAATAAATACAAATTGATTGAAAACAGCTGAATTTTAAAGTGCTTTATTACTATTATTATTATATTATTATTGGACAAAATGTGTTACAGCGCCTGGTTTCTCTTTCAGGATGAAACGAACAGAGTTTCTTTAATCAATGCAGATGCAGTTTAAGATAGAAGCCTTTATTGTCATTTCAATTACAAATACAATAAAATGACGAGTGCCCGTACGAGCAGTGCTTAAAATACGCACACATGAACAACACATTCACAAACTATTTTAGAAAAACACAAGAACAAGAAGAAGAGGAAAAGACAGTTTAAGAACTTTAGTGAACGATTAAGGCAGTTCTATAATAAGATAGGATAAGATGAAATAATATGTGGCTGTATAAAAGTAGATGTGATAAAATGACCAGAGGTTTTGAGTTCATGATGTGGGTTGCAGAGTCTCTCTGTGTGTGTGTGTGTGTGTGTGTGTGTGTGTGTGTGTGTGTGTTTAGCTCAGTGTGTATGGAAATAAACTGTTTAATAGTGAATATGCTCTCTATGGCAGAGCGGTAAAACCTCGTTCAATGATGTCATGAGTTAACGCAATATGTACAATTACAATGAATCTGAAAACAGTGACACAGAAACACACTGTGACGCGTTTTATAGTTCATGTCTTCTCACAGTCACCTTCACACTTTCACAGGACAGTCAATATAACACATGTTTAACCACAGACTCAGTGCGATGCAGAAACACTTTTAACTCGGCAGTAAACCACAGCGAGAGTATTTAGAATCAGCCGTGTGTCTGTGAGATGGAACAAACTTTCATATCTTAAAACGTAAATGAGAGCTTCACTTTGACAACTAACACCTACATTTGTTCTTAAAAAAATGAACTATTTATTTATAATACTTTATAAACAAATAACAGTGCAATTCCCATTTTCATTTAGGTACACCGTGTGAAACAGTTTTTCAAAACTCCATCTTCAGCTGTAAAACAAATACAGAACAAATGTTAATAATATAGAATAGGAGTATTATAGAGGTAGGCTTTGGTAAAATGTTATATATTTATTTATATCATGTACGGGTAGTAAGCACGATTATAAATATTTCTAAAGTTCAAGAATAATAATGAGGAATGGTACAAAATCTAATTTTAAGTTGAATGCATGACTCCAGTAAATGGTATGTATGTTAGAATTGTACCCTTTTGTTCTATATACAATATATAGTTAAACCAACATTCATATATTTTGTATAAAGTCAAAGCACGTTATTTTAAAACCCTCATCCAACTTACTACACACCCATGTTGTCCAAAGTTGTACATATTATGATGTTTAAATATCTACCATCCATCCAGTATGACTTAAAGGTAGGGTAGGTAAGTTTGAGGGACCGCCTCGAGATACACTTTTTGTTATATTCCATGGAATGCTCTTAACATCCCGATAGCAATGAATATCTTAAGTGCTTTGACAAAAAATCCATAAGAAATCGTCATCTGTGGAAGCCGTAATACTGTAAAAAGCACGACCAATCATTTTAGCCGGCCCGGCTAAAATAACTGGATGGCCTACCTGCCTGTCAGCCTTCCATCTGTGCACAAACTTATCTTGTGGTTTGGAGGAGGGGCTTTGTAAGGAAGTGGCAGATTTTCTCCGGTTGTGCATTTTCAAATTCTACGCACTCGAGCTGGTTTCTCCGAAATTACCTACCCTACCTTTAATAGCAGAATTAATTATAATAATGTAATCTTCAGTCTTACCGGCGAGATTGTAGAATAAAAGGCGTCCTCTGCTACGGATGGCTCTGCGTTGAAAATAGAGGTTATACAGTATGTCAATGTGTTGCCAAAAAGTTGACTTGGACATTCATTTGACTTTATTACAAAATTGGAGGTTTCTTGGTTGGTTGCACAAATATGTATTTTTAGTATCTTTTATGTTGCACTGTTAAAAGAGTCAGAGATTTTGGTAAAAGGCACAATTCTAAAGATCTAATCTAATTACAAAGAAAATGTCCCAATAAATCAGAGTGATCTAAATGTCCAAGTGGTAATGCCAAGGGCTTCCTATAACTGACCTTATAACCAAAGAATAACCCAAACTCATTATCAATTAGTTAAGACCTACTAAGGAGGACATGGGATTACTCAAAACTAAAGAACATCATACTGTAAGCTTACAGAGAAATCTGACGTATTTCAATTTGGATTTGATACTGGTAACTACAACATCTGAATGTTTTTATTACCAACCACCAGCACATTGAACATCACAATAAAGCCTTTAAAGCTTTAAAATCAGTTATAACTGAAATAGTTCTAATCTCATTGAGTCTCACCCTGTTGTTGAGTCTCTCCCGGGCCCAAGGTGTAGTAAACGGCTGTTGGAAATGATTGATCCACACCTGATGGAGGGACATAGTTAATCATCTGATATATAAATATAACTATTACTAGAAAATCAGACCAGTAGTTTTTCCAATACTCTGCTGACAGAAAGAAAAAAGGCCCAAAAACATGATTATCTTTGGACAAACAGTCCCAAGGTATTTAAAGAGGCCCAATTATGCGTTTTGTGGTGTCCCGTCTCATGTAGTGTGTTCTATAGGTTTTGCTGCATGTAAATGGTCTGTAAAGGCACAAATTCCTGTGTTCCCTCCAGAGGAACTTTCTCCCCCCCACCTTAACAATAATAACAATAATTGTCCAAAAAGTTGGCCTTTTACCCGATGAAATACACAACTGTACTTGACATACGTAAGAGAAAGCATGTAAAGTGAAATTAAAGCAGAAGTAACACTGCCAGGTTTTAACCTTTCTTCTTCCTGTTTTTTGATGCCACATCATACGTCATTTGGCCTGAATCCACTGCACTGGCCTCTAATGAAACTAGCAAATGAAACAAAACATATAGTTGAGTTTTCATGACAAATAAAGTAGACGAACAAATAATAAGACATGAAAACAGCCAGGGTTTATTTTCATGTTAAACCATTTAATCTAATAAATATATTTGTTATTTTAACGAGATATGTAACATCCTTTAAACAATTGTTCGTATTTTAATACCACAAATAACTACACTCTCCATATTGTGCACATGACGAAAAAGCCTTTGAATCTTCTATTTGAAAGTCCTAGTATATTAAGGTAAGCTAATTACATTACTTAGATATTTAGGAAGGATGCAACATGGTTTGTGTTCTCACCTGTGTGATGCTCAGCCGGTCCAGGTGTTTGTGTGGACAGGCAGAAAAACACTGCAGCACGGTAAAGGAAAAACATCATAAAAATCCAACCAGAAACAGAAGAAGCATAACGAGTATGGAAACTATTTTCTTCCATGCTTCATTTTGTGACAGCAAACATAAATGGATCTATTTTAAAGAGGTAGAAAATACATGCATAAAATACAAATACAATCTATAGGTTTCCTTGGCCTATTATCAAAACCTAAAATCTAACCCTTATTATTATAAGCTAAAGGCGGGTAATAAAGGAACTACAGCACTGTCATGACTTCACGTCACCACCGCTAAGCTAAAGGTGGCTAATGTTGGGCTATAAAGGAACCACAGCACGGTCACATGACTTCACGTCACCACTGCTAAGCTAAAGGCGGCTAATGTTGGGCTATAAAGGAACTACAGCACGGTCACATGACTTCACGTCACCACTGCTAAGCTAAAGGAGGCTAACGTTGGCGTGACGATGTTGAGTCGTCTCATTCAGACACTTGTTAGCACAACCCAGTGTCACGGCATTTCGTGTCACGGACCGTCCACACAGCAGCGTTAAAAAATCTTGGAACGCTTCTGCCCATTCACTTTGAATGGGGTGACGTCACTTTCCCTCACTTTTCGCCGAACTGCATTGTGGGCAGGCGAGCGGAGATTTTCAGGATTTTCAGGATTTTCAGGATTCAAAGTTGAACAATGTTCAACTTTTGAGGCTGAGGTGGAAGCGTCAGCCAATCAAATCCCGTGTACGCAAATCTGACCATTCAAGCTCTAGCCAATCAAACGGCGTCTATGCTGGGAGAGACATACCGCAGGTCATTTCCTCATATTCCAAAAAATGGAGGAGAAATTAGCGGTAGGGAATCACCCGGTGCTTTATGACCAGTCCCTATTTACCTACCGGGATATAAACCGGAGGAGCCAGGCATGGAGGGAGGTGGCAGAGACAGTGGTAGGTTTTCGCCTGTTTGGGGAGTTTATATCCAGTTTACTTCAAACTCTTTTGCTTCGTATGTCGGGGGCGGGAGATTCATGTGATTGGTTGTTGGTGCCTTGCTCGCAAAAAATCCCCAAGCTTCAGATACGCCCACCTCCAAGATTTTTTTAACGCTGCTGTGTGGACGGTCCGTTATAGTCACGACATTTAATCTATTGATTCGTGTTCACCAACACGATTTTCACCTTTTTTTCGTGTCACACAGAACGATTTTAAAAGCAATGTATTTCTATTGGTAGTATGTTTCGTGCCTGCACCACCTCTTTTTGTCCGGTCGGGTCTTGGAAGACCGGAAGCTGTGGGGTTCATAAAAACATTTTCTTACTCAATATCAAGCCACGATTATTGTTTTTATTTTAAATCGTATAATGTCTGACTTTCTTTCAGAACCTCAGAATACTGAAATCTGTATTTTTTTAATCTTTTTTTCCTTCTAATTTGTTATTCTTTTCTAAATAACACACTGTTATTTACTCAACAATAACACACAATTATCCTTGTTTTTATTTGTTTAATTCCATAATCTCTGGCTTTTTTTTTGCGTCCGTCAGGAACTGAATTTCAAAATAAAATAACCGGAAACAGATACACACCCACTGAACTGATTACCCAAGATCCTCAGCTATGGTTTAAGCTCGGTGATTGGATTGTTTAGCCGCAATGCACGTTGGGATATTGTGTTAATGCGATATGAAATCCGAAAAACATTTTGGAGTTTAGGATGGCCGAAGACTACCCATAATCCCCAGCTATCGTTTGGGACTACAGTCCCCGTGATTAATCTTCAAGCTCTGGGATTGGATGTTGGAGTGGCAGTGCGCCAAGGTTACGCCGAGCGTCAAACAAAACTGGATTCGAACGGGACCAGCAGATTCTGATTAATGATGTGAAATATAAACAACCCTAAATCAGACTTTAGTTACACCTGAGTAAAATTCAGGGAAAGGTGATTGTCAAGTGCCAACAATCAGCCGAGATATTTGATAGTTGGTGCTTGAGAAGACTAAACATTTATCTGCAGATCCCTATAAAGTATATTCATTACTCGTTATTCTCTACTAATAGTTAATTAAAGACTGTATATAATGGCTATTTTGCACATCCCTTTCAAGATTTCAAGATTTTCTAAGGTTTATTGACATATCATATACACAACTACGGTGTAGTTATGCAATGAATGAAAAACTTGGGTCGCCGGTTCCTCAACAGTGCATTACAAGACATGTGTGTATACCTCCACCATTAAACTGTCATATTCTGCACATTTCTTATTCTATCTACATACATCTTATAAGAGTATAATTCATATGCATAATATCAGTTAAAATAAGTGTTTCAACATAGTTAACATTGCTGGAAAGCAATATAGATTCATATTTATCTGTAGATACCCCCAAAGCTGTTTTCTTATTTAAAAGAAGACCTTAATCTAAAGTAATATTAAATGTTTAAATAAAGGTTAATTAGTTCGTCTGTTTTGCACATCCTCATATTAATATCTTTATACATCCGGCACTAAACGTTTTATTGTAGAGATCACTTACAGTATCTTCTTGATTTTTTATATTCTATATTTCTATCATTGATCTTCTACTTTCACCCTATGAAAGTATGTACTCTTAATATTTTTTTCATCGAATATAACACATTAAAACAATAATTCAATAACGTGCTTTAACCACTAGGCGGTGCACACAAGGTACACACAGCATACTAATAATAACTTTGTATTATTAGTGTAGGACACTTGTGTATGTATAACATCTGAAGATGTGTAGTTTTATTCATGTTTTCACATAATTGTACAGGATATTGCTATATTATTTCACATGTTTTACTTCTACACATTAATATCTGATTTGTAAAACAGACAGAAAGGTATCCGTCATTTAATGGTAAGCTATTGAAATTGTGATTCCAGAGATGTGTCTCCCATCACCCAAATCCCCTGACTATTCTTTCAACTCAGTATTTACATTCTTATATTCAAAGAAAATCAGTAATATCTTTAAAAACTACAAGTCCTTTTATATCAGCTGTGCACCGTTATGGTGTAAATATAACCTATCTACCAATTGGATCAAATATAAAAGTCAGCCGAATTAATGTTGATACTGCAAGGAGACGTATTGTGTTAAAAGAAATGTAAGATGTTGTTTAATTGCTGATATATTTATGATCCACGTCACGTATTCAGTTTCGGCGGCAGTCCTTCCTGTTTGTCCAGAAGTCTTCTAATCAGTGCTCTATAAATAAAGAACTACGGCAGATGTGTAATATGTAATGCAGCCGAACCGTGTATTACAATGCCGTTATGTGATGACTTTCAAAGAGAAAAGCAAGCACACTCGGAATAAAGTATTATTATAATTGTTTTTTAAAGAATTTTCGGATTTCACATCGCATAAACACCATATCCCAACGTGCATTGCGGCTAAACAATCCAATCACCGAGCTTAAACCATAGCTGAGTATCTTGGGTAATCAGTTCAGTGGGTGTGTATCTGTTTCCGGTTATTTTATTTTGAAATTCAGTTCCTGACGGACGCAAAAAAAGCCAGAGATTATAGAATTAAACAAATAAATAAAAACAAGGATAATTGTGTGTTATTGTTGAGTAAATAACAGTGTGTTATTTAGAAAAGAATAACAAATTAGAATGAAAAAAAGATTACGAAAAATACAGATTTCAGTATTCTGAGGCTCTGAGCCCCATTTCTTTTCCTCACTGACGGCAAAAAAAGTCCGACATTATACGATTTAAAATCAAAAACAATAATCATGGCTTGATATTGAGTAAGAACCATAGACTGCATATATAAAGAACATGTTTTTATGAACCACACAGCTTCCGGTCTACATTGCTTTTAAAATCGTTCTGTGTGACACGAAAAAAAGGGGAAAATGGTGTTGGTGAACACAAATCAAATTAAATGTCGTGACTATAACACGAAATGCAGGGTTAGCAACCACCTTTTTCACCAGTGGGGAGTTTACTGAAGTATTTTATGTCAGCTTGTGTGAACCACAGACCATATTTCAGGCTTACAACCAAATATGCAATTCATTCATTCAAAAAAACTTCGAGAAAAGGGAACACTAAGTGCTAAAATGCTGACTCATTTCAGGTTTTTAAGACTCATTCCTGCAGTTCTCCATAGCTTATAGTAGCAGATTGTTGGTGCATTGTATTCGTACCTCTGTGCCGATAACCTTTGCAAAATCGATGTATTCCCACGGCCAGCAGCAGAAGCATCAATGAAACAGAGACAAAGATCCACGGGGAGAGAGTGGAGGAAGTCTCTTTAGCTGAAACTGAAATAGGAATGATTAACTTAGGAGCAGAAGGTAATCACATGTATTTCTTAACATCATTTTGACATGCATGATCAAAGTGATGAACACATTATAAATCAATACGTATAGTATTATTAAATAATATATAATATGCTGTAGTTTTGGTACTTTAAGTATTAGTATTAGCCATTAGTTTTGTCCTATTGCTTGTACAATTTAGTAAAAGCAATAGGAGAAGAGGAAGAAATACCCAAGATCTGAGTATTTCTTCCTCATTCAATTCAAAAGATGCTAAGATTCAAAAGGTTAAATGTAATATCATATACACAACTTAGGTCACAAGCAGAGATGGGGTCGTTACTAAAAAAAAGTAATATATTACATATTACATATTACTTTAAAAAAAAGTAATATATTACACTACTTCGTTACTCTCTACATAAAGTAACTCGTTACTTTACTCGTTACTTTACTTGCAGGGCCGGCCCGCCCCTCCCTACAGGCAGATCACGCAGACTGCTAAAGTTTCAAATGTTCTCTTTAGTTCAGTTTCCATTGTCGCATAAGACTGATCCAGATAGCTCTGACTATGGCTGTCCTCTGTCTCCTGCTATCTGTATTTTGCGCAGTATATCTCTGAACGATGCGATGCTGATTCCACTGTGCAAATGGGCAACATTACCTCTACTATGAAGGATGCTACAAGCCTGTCCATCTCTGCTTTGGTTACCGGTCCTCCAAATTCTAATTTGTGCCGCTTCAGAGTCGGCGGCGGCGACTCACAACATCCTCACTCTGGGTTCGGGGGTCCTTAGCTATTAGCTTCACCTTAGCATGTGTTCTTTGCAGGTGTTTGTTGAGGTTTGACGTGGTGTTTACAGCAGTGGATAACAGCTTCTGGCCTGGACACAGTTTGCACCTCACCGTCACATTCCTGTCTATTCTTCGGACAAACTCAAAATAATGGGCATACCTCCACCCCTCGAAAGTTATCGCTGACTCTGCCATGTTTATGCAGCACTGCACGTGGAGATGTGGACGCGCAAGTCGCGCAGATTACGTACATATAAACCTGCGGCGGAAACCCCTCTTGTCTGTCAGTGTGATTATGACTGATTTTATAAAAGTAACGAAGTAACGCGTGTCGGGGCAATGTTAGTAACTGTAGAGTGATTACTGAATTATAAAAGTAACGCGTTACACTACTCCGTTACAGACAAAAGTAATATTATTACAGTAACGCGTTACTTTGTAACGCGTTACACCCAACTCTGGTCACAAGTTCCTCAACAATGCAATAAAACAAATACATGCATATGTACTTAAGTTAAGTTTTGAATGCATGTATTTTACTTGTATTAAACATAACATTAATTTACATATCTGAGTACAAAGGTTATATCTCACCTCTGACAGTCAGCCTGCTCTCTGGTGATTCTCCACCGTCAGGGATGCTGCACTTGTAGAGTCCTTCGTCAGATTTAGAAACTCTGCGGATGGTGATGTTTCCTGTAGAGCTGCTCCTGATGAAGCGGCCATCTTCATAGAAATCAGCTGAGAGGATGGAGGAAGTGGTCGTCTTGTTCCTGCAGCTCAGAGTCACAGATTCTCCCTCCATCACAGGAACAGCAGGACTCTCCAGGATCACAGAGCCAGCTGAACAACATCAGGATCAAACATTCAGTTTGAGTTTTGTAGTATGAATTAATTACAATAGAACAATTGTTAATTTAGACGAAGGCATTGTGAAGATACTGAGATGTAAAGTCAGGTTGTAACATGCCCAGAATAATTGAAAATATCAGAAATAAACTGAACACATTGATGAAGGAATCAGAAACAGTTATGTAAAGTAGTGTATCGTCTGCATAGAGGTTCATATAACACATCCTCACTCCCAGGTCGGCGTATGTTGACGTTATGTCAAGGTCCCCTGTGGTCTTTTTCCAATGCAAGGGGGGGCGGCCCTTAGCGTACATTTTCAACTTTCCGGGATGTCCATAGGCTTCTATATAGCTCCCTAAACATATGTTGTAGACGACTTGAGATCGCGAGCGAATGCTTCCCGCCGCGGGCCATTCTCTGCTGAAGCATACGTTGCGAGACTGCATTGCATTAAAAACATTATGCTCTCTATATATTGTCTTTATTATGCTTTAAACAGTGTCTCGGGCTTTGGCTATAGGGCGGTGTAGGTACCATATCTGCACGGCCTACCAGATCAGCACGGGGTCCGTTACGCTTACTAATGACGTCACACATTGGCTGTACGGCAACCCAAGAGGACATTTTTCAAATTCCGCAAAGAATATAAAAAAATAACAATCGACAGTGAATGTATGTTAGTGGAACTGTGTCAGGAAAGTGAAGTGTTAATTAAGTAATGTTATTGAAGAACTGAAATGCATAAAATTGAAAGTTAATATGTATCATATCCCTCCGAAATATGGTCGTAGACTTTACTGATGATTTAGAATTTATTGAAACTCCACACTCAACGTAAGAGATTGTGCCTCTTCGGGGGGTGCTAACATTTAAACATAAACTTTATTCTTCACTTTCTCCGTCTTTATGATATCAGATACGTCATGTTGTTTCCATAGCAACAACAACTTCCTGTCAACAGCTCCTGTTTCACCTGCTTAATACAGTTATCATCACTGCTACTGTGGTCACATCGGGGACCCGTAACATTTACAATAGTTGAGATGTGACGGGGTTATGTTTTTTTGTCTGTGTTCTGGGTTCCTGCAGTTTTTTTAACAGACAGTACACACGTTCAGAGGATGAACATTATTATTGTGTGTGTGTGTGTGTGTGTGTGTGTGTGTGTGTGTGTGTGTGTGTGTGTGTGTGTGTGTGTGTGTGTGTGTGTGTGTGTGTGTGTGTGTGTGTGTGTGTGTGTGTGTGTGTGTGTGTGTGTGTGTGGTGACTCAGCCTGGTTAGTAAAAGATTATTTCAATCTCTGCACACCTGCCGGAAGGAAATGGTACACATATTCAACATTAATATGTTTGCATGAGTAATTGTAATACCATTCATAAATCTTTTTTCCTGCAAAATCTTTCCCTCACTGATGGAATAAGAGCAGTGAGGCGTTCTGCTGAAGCAGATGGTTTTTCAGATAAAACTAATGATCCATTTTTGTGATGGTTTTGTAGTCTAGTATTTTGTTACCACAAAGTTGACAGTGACGTCATTAGAGCATATCTCACAAATGTTATGCTTTATTTCCTTTATGCGTATTCCATGCGTTTTCTTGTGTGTTTCACAAATCCTGTATACATTCTGTATTTTAGATTTTCAGATGTTATTATGTAATGAAGTGTTTCTGTGTATTTAATTGTAATATAGTTGGCTTTACTGTTGGTGTGACAAAACAAGCAATTTAAAGTAGTGAGTTCTGGGAAACTGGGTCTGACTATTTTAATGTTTTTTTCACATTTATAAATGAGGAACAGCATGATATTTAAGAAGACACAACTGGAACTAGCATTTTTCATTATCAGTTAAAATAAGTTCTTAAACATAGTTAACATTGCAGGAAAGCAATATATTAGACATTAAGTACTTTGTCAGGCTTAATATTTATCTGTAGATACAAATGTCACTGTGTGTGCTGTGTGCTCTGCATGTGTGACCATCAAAGAGGGTTTCATCCCTCCATATTCATCTTCTATACCCCCAAAGCTTTTTTCTTATTCAAAAGAAGACCTTCAGCTAAAGTATTTTTTAATGTTTAAATAAAGCCTTATTAGTTTGTCTGTTTTGCACATCCTCCTATTAATATCTAATAATACAATTATAAAATGCAATAACGTGCTTTAACCAGTAGGTGTCCCTTTCTATCAGCTGTGCACCGTTATGGCGTAAATACAGCCTATCTACCAATTGGATCAAATATAAAAGTCAGCCGAATTAGTGTTGATACTGCAAGGAGACGTATTGTGTGAAAAGAAATCTAAGAGGTTGTTTAATTGCTTATATATTTAAGATCCACGTCAAGTTTTCAGTTTTGGCGGCAGTTGTTCCTGTTTGTCTAGAAGTCTTCTCATCAGGGCCCTATACATAGAGTTAACTACGGCAGATATGTAATATTTAATGCAGCCGAACCGTGTATTACAATGCCGTTATGTGATGACTTTCAAAGAGAAAAGCAAGCACTCGGAATAAAGTATTATTCTATTTTTAAAAAATGTTTTCGGATTTCACATCGCATAAACACCAAATCCCAGCGTGCATTGCGGCTAAACCATCGAATCACCGAGCTGAGGACCTTGCCTACGTCTGTTTCCGGTTTCGTTTTCGTTTATGTATTTTGTTATACACACATTCCTTCACATTTAAATTTAAATTTACATTAAAGTATTTCGTGAGGCCTTCTAACATGTTTTTAAAATATAACTACGGTTGTAGTTGAAGAGTTTGTAAATTAACATGAACCGAAGCTGTTACCTGTTGCAACAGAGGATTGTGGGTAAGGTAATGTCCGTCAAACTTCCGGGTTCCTCCATGGGACCTTATTTCGGAAAAAGTATGCATTGAAGTCAATGGGGAGAGAAAGATTATCTTTCGATCCCGTTTGAATTGTGCCACGAATTACACATATGATGTTTGTCAATCTTAAATAATAATTTCCATGTCAAAAAAGTCACAGTTTGTCGTAAAACTGTTGAAATATAAGACTATGAAAAATACGCAACTAGAAAGACTACAAATCCCAGAATCCCGCATGCTGGCTCTTACGAACCGACTGACTCCCCTTGTGTGTATGTACAGCTCTCAACATGCCCAGACTTGTAGTGATTTTCACCTCTTTTAATACTTTTAATACCACATTACGTCACACATTTGATGCGCGCCCGTGATTGAAAATCTCTTTATTTAAAAACTACGGGGAATACGGATCTCGGGGTCTCCCTGCTCCCTGCCGCAGATGCGACGCGTCATATGACGTCACATGTTTGGCATGTCTCGATTGAATATGGTTTATTTAAAACAAAAACAAGGACAATAAACAAAGCAGTCTTCACAACGGCCGGACAAAATACTTTGAGCCGCCCTATAGCCAAAGCCCGAGACACTGTTTAAAGCATAATAAAGACAATATATATAGAGAGCATAATGTTTTTAATGCAATGCAGTCTCGCAACGTATGCTTCAGCAGAGAATGGCCCGCAGCGGGAAGCATTCGCTCACGATCTCAAGAAGACTATGGACATCCCGGAAAGTTAAAAATGTACGCTAACGGCCGCCCCCCTTGCATTGGAAAAAGACCACAGGGGACCTTGACATAACGTCAACATACGCCGACCTGGGAGTGAGGATGTGTTGGTTCATAATATGAAACTGTTCCTGATATCGTTGCAGCATATATATACAATATTTGTAGACAATTATTAAAATGACATCTGAGACAGGAGAAAAAACACAATTTGGTTTAGATTTTAGAAATATATTTGTTTGCAATTTAATCCAATAGTAGGGATATGCTTAATGAGCATACTCAGCTTTGTGCACGCTGTTTGCTTTTATTACACTTTCTTGATGAATTCTGTTTTCTTTTTTAAACAATATAAAGATATAAAAATGTTTTGTGCTAGAAAAGTATATGTCTATCATATAGTATATAACCTTAGCATCATTGCACTTTTTTTGTTCTTCTAACAAACATTGTATAGAATCACGTGTATTGCTAAGTTGTTTTCCACATACAGGGAACTTGTCTTGTCTGAATATTTCTGAATATTTCATACACACAGAAAGAGAGTGTTGCTGAGTTAATGTCAACATACCGGTGATATTGACGTTCACATAGACGCTTTTCTTCCCTCCAGCCTCACACCAGTAATCTCCACTGTCCTCTTTATAAGGAGATGAAATGTTGCATTTATTCTCATGAAATGAGCCCCATTTTGAACCATCACAAGTTTCCTTTCCTGTTTTGCTCCACCGTAAAATGTTCACATCAGTCAAACCATCGAAGCCCACACATCTTAAAGAGACAGGCTTGTATTCAAAGACTTGAAGTCTGGATGGTTCGATCCAAAGATCTGCATCTGAAACTGAGAAATACATTTGTTGTTGATATTAATATATAGCACTTTAAATAAAGTTATGATTTTTTATTGTGTTGTTGCATCTTTTCTTTTTGGTAAACAAGCTTCTTACCAACTTTCTGTTCACAGAGCTGCAGAAACACCGTCATCCCTGCAGAGAGAAAAGAGACAAATATCACATAGATACTTATGAGGATTTTATTACCTAGACTTTATTGTTTACATATATCTTTGATAGATAATACTTGTAAAACAACTCACCATTACAACTAAATTCACAAAAGAGAACAGTGTAAATGGCCATGCAGCAGCAGTAAGTAATAGCATCTATAAGTGCTCTTCTTTATTATACATATATTTAAATATTTGATAATAAACATAAAATAAATACAATTTCATTTTTAAGAGATCCCACAGAAGATCCTAGAAGATCCTCTACATTTGAAAAATATTCAAATGTTAATCATTTGTATTTATTTATATGGAGGTAGATTTGTCTCTATATTATGTGTGTGGACAGATCAATAACCCGTGTGTAACTGTGAAAAAAGATCTAAAAATTCCAAAAAGGATTTGTAAAATCACAAAATATGAATGAAAGATGTGTACAACATGCATAAAATGCATGTCAAGCAATATTGACACAAATCTACCTCCATATGTTCCTTTAGCTAATATGATCTAGTATCATCTTTTATATGAAAAACAGCAGATGAAGACTCAGTACTCACACAGTGTGATGCAGAGCGCTGTGGCCTCCATGGCGTCTGGCTGCTGACTGAGTGAACCTCACACTGAAATATAAAAAGAAGAAGAGGGGTGGTCTCTTCCTGTGTGGCTCACTAATGAAACGCCTTGTCGCTCAGACGCGTGTCATGGAAGGAAATACGTGTCAGTGGTGGGGTTAATATTAGAGGCTGAGGCCAAAAACTCACACGTGAGAAAGACAACTTTACGTCTTGATGTGTAAAACAGACAAACAAAAAGCATTATGATATGATGGAAAAATACACTTTAAATACACTTCTTTCTTTAAAATATGGAATAACACGAGGCTCAATTATTTATTTTTGTTGTTTTCCCTGAGAAACATCATCGACAGCCCTGACTTTGTTTTTAAATCCTTTTTATGTACGTGATACCCACTCAATATATGTGTTTATTCATAATAATAATATTAAAAACCTCCTACTTAACACAGCAAAACCCCAAGAAATAATCATTGACTTCAGGCGAAAGCCACAGCCCAAATCACCTCTATCCATCTCCGGCAAACTCATTTCCACCACAGACTCACTCAAATTTCTTGGCACAAATTTCTTGGCACTCACATAAGCAATAACCTCAAATGGAAGACCAACCACATCTACAAAAAAGCCAACCAAAGGCTATTCTTTCTGCGACAGCTCAAGAAATACAGAGTGAGGAAACATCTCTTAATCCAGTTCTACAGCCATCATCCAAAGCATCCTCACATCATCCATCACAGTCTGGTACAGCAGTTCAGACACCCACTCCCGGAATAAACTTCAACGTATCATCAATAAAGCATCAAAAATCACCTGCAGTCCCCTTCCATCACTCGAATCACTTCACCACCAACGAACTGTCACAAGGGCAAAGAAAATCATTTCTGACCCCTCCCACCCAGCTCACCATGTCTTCCAACTTCTGCCCTCAGGGAGGCGCTACAGGTCACTGTCCACCAAAACCACCCGCTTCAAAAACAGCTTCTTCCCCTTTGCAATACGGACACTAATGGTGCGTTTCCACTACAGCGCGGAGCCCCGTTTAAGAGAGCTGTGACGTCAGCGGCCTGTCTTTGGTTGCGTTTCCACTTGGCCTAGTACCGGCTAGCGGGTCCTAATTCACAGTTTTTCTGGCCCCATAAAATCGTGGTTCTAGGGCCAGGAACAACCAGGCTGAGTCGGGCTGAGTATGCTAAACTAGAGAGAGAATCGCTGGCAAGGGGGCTACAACTACAACAAGATGAACATATTTGACCGTGATTTAATTGTAATACACTTTTCAAAATGATGCCGAAGTAACAACATACTGATACCGGTTAGTAAAAACCATGAATTAATGCTTTGACAAGTCTGCAGACAGACGGCAGGCGAAACACCTTTTAAAATGCGTGTTTTCTGAATGGAGATCGGCTAAACTAACGCAATATATGCTCCGACCGTCCACACACACAACAACGGCCTATACAGACATAAATAAAGCAGCGACTGTATTCACCATGACACAGGCAGTCTGTGGTGTGTACTTGTTTAACTTTTGTCTAGTTTCTGAACATATATGAGGAGCTGTGAGCTCTGAGTGCTAACAGCTAACGGCTATGTTGTTTTTCTGGGGTTCTCATTGAAGATGACGTCACGGCTCCGCCTACACTGCGTTACTATAGATACTACCCCAGTTCCTAAACTGTAATGGAAATGCGCCATAAAGTGAGCCAATCCTAACGAGGCCTAGCCATACCGAGCGAGGCAGAGCGAGGCCGTGTAGTGGAAATGCGCCATTAATGGACTTTAAATAACCCCAATGAACAATTACAATCCACCACACCTTGAACTTTATGTATATATGTCATGATGTATGTCTTTGCCCAGTGCTGTGTGTTGTACTTTTTATTGTCTGTTGAATTGTATGGAACAACCTGTAATACTCTGCACTGAACACGAATTCCACCAGCCTGGCTGTGTGGTCATTACATATTCTAATCCAATCTAATCTAATTAAAAGGCAGTTAGAAAAGGTAATTTTAACATAAATAACATCTGGTCAATGACCTGGTGCAGTTAGGAACTAGTTAGGGTTAGGGTCCTTTGTTTGATTTGGTCAGAATAAAGCAGCATCTACAATAACCTGCCAATAGACCTGCATATTAAAGTCAAATCATTCATTTTAATTAAATTCTTAAATAATCATATTTAACAAACTGCCGCCTCTATCCCTTTCATCTGTTATGCAGGTGAATGTAGAAATAAATAGGGAAAAAAATGCATGAGTCTTGTGATTAGCAATCCCTTTGTTATTAACACAACCTTGATCAGCCCTTCACTTAACCACACAGAACATCAGGCTAGCTTAAAGAACTCGGTGTCCAGATACATTTAGTTTTACTGCATGTGTTTGCCGGGTGGTTTTCAGACGCTGGCTGCACGTGAGCTGAGGGGCCCGTCTACCTGTTTCTGTCTGTGGGTTCCTCGTGTGGTTTTTATTCTGAAAGTTAAAAAAGAAGAAGTGAACACTTTCACGAGGGGCAAAAGCTACAAGAGCAAGAACAGTGGCCCCCATGTTGAAAAAAAGTATGTTAAAAGTTCACTATCTGTCGGTGGCTGCTAAGGGAAATGACCCACATGCAAACAAGCTAGTCAGGTCACACAATAAAATAAAGTCTGACAGATGTTATAAAACTGAGAAGTCCCGCCTCCTGCAGTAAAATATAAGGCCTATAATCTTCCTTAATGAAGATTACCTATTCAGCAGTTGCCACAATTTTATTAGAATGTATTAATAACCTGATAAGTGAGTCCAAAGTTCAGATTTGATTAACAGAGACATTCAAGGTGAAACTCTGATAACAATAGGGTGGATACATTTGAACTTTACATGAATATATTACACAGTTTTCGCAAAAAGTTCCTCTTGCTGTTACAGAGTAATTTGCACACTGAGAAAAATGATACAGCCCAGCACTGACTACTATGAAGTTCAGTGGAAGAAATGAATTAGGCGTTACTTGTTTCACATGATACACTTCATGAGCCTGCTGTTAAGCCCCAAGCCTGTTTTTCAGGTCTGAGGCTCGAAAATGACATTCCCAGAACAAATGACCATATCTTCCCTTCTAAAAGGGGAAAATGAATAATCTTTTTTCTCAAAGTAATGATAAACCTGTGAGTTGGATGTAGAAAAGTCAGAATCAATATAGATGTTTTTTATTTTCAAGAAAATTCAGATTGAACATAGTAAAAATATGTAAATTATAGTGTCCGTCCAAAAAATATGTTTTAGTGAAAACCACCCTTGGCAGTCGAAGGCTGCGTCTCAGGTCGCTCCTCGGCAGAGATGGGGTCGTTACTAAAAAAAAGTAATATATTACATATTACATATTACTTTAAAAAAAAGTAATATATTACACTCCTTCGTTACTCTCTACATAAAGTAACTTGTTACTTTACTCGTTACTTTACTCGTTACTTTACTCGCAGGGCCGGCCCGCCCATCTCTACAGGCAGATCACTCTGCTAAAGTTTCAAATGTTCTCTTTAGTTCAGTTTCTATTGTCGCATAAGACTGATCCAGATAGCTCTGACTATGGCTGTCCTCTGTCTCCTGCTATCTGTATTTTGCGCAATATATCTCTGAACGATGCGATGGTGATTCCACTGTGCAAATGGGCAACATTACCTCTACTATGAAGGATGCTACAAGCCTGTCCATCTCTGCTTTGGTTACCGGTCCTCCAAATTCTAATTTGTGCTGCTTCGGAGTCGGCGGCGGCGCACTCAACTCACAACATCCTCACTCTGGGTTCGGGGGTCCTTAGCTATTAGCTTCACCTTAGCATGTGTTCTTTGCAGGTGTTTGTTGAGGTTTGACGTGGTGTTTGCAGCAGTGTATAACAGCTTCTGGCCTGGACACAGTTTGCACCTCACCGTCACATTCCTGTCTATTCTTCGGACGGACTCAAAATAATGGGCATACCTCCACCCCTCGAAAGTTATCGCTGACTCTGCCATGTTTATGCAGCACTGCACGTGGAGATGTGGACGCGCAAATCGCGCAGATTACGTACATAGAAACCTGCGGCGGAAACCCCTCTTGTCTGTCAGTGTGATTATGACTGATTTTATACAAGTAACGAAGTAACGCGTGTCGGGGCAATGTTAGTAACTGTAGTGTGATTACTGAATTATAAAAGTAACGCGTTACACTACTCCGTTACCGACAAAAGTAATATTATTACAGGTTACACCCAACTCTGCTCCTCGGTCCTCGGTATCACCGGAAGTTGATTTGTCTGCGCCATCTTGAGTAGCGTCCCATGGCGTTTATTTCTGCCGGAGTACCGAGGAGCGAGGAGCGAGGAGCGAGGAGCGATAATGGAGGAGCGATAACCGAGGAACCACCAGACCATCCTCCGGTGAAATCCTCAGCCACTTGCCCCGCCCCCTTACTGTGTATCGCTCACTGATTGGACGATGCAGTGCATGCACTGATCTGATGCTTCTTGACATGAGAGCAGTTTCCCAGCGGTGTGAAGAAAACACATGAAACTCACGAGAGTCACTCCTCAGTTTATACTGTGTTTTGTTTCAATGAATGCATCATTCAGTTACAAATATGTGATATATCTGAACAACAAAGTGGACAAAAATTATTTTATTCATTTATTGGAAACATTTTCATGATCGCTTTTTTCGTTTATACATTTTAAGAATGGCGTTTATCTTTTTTGAGAATTAGTTCTTATTTTTATTTTATTTATTTGGGTCTACAACAGATTATACAAATGTTTATGTCAGTAAATGTGTATTAACAGAGGCGGGGGTGTGTGTGAAAACAACGGGGACAGAGCTGCTGTCAGACATCAGCTGTGCGGCGTCATCACAAACGGACGTCGCTTCACGTGACGCTCCGGAGGAAAGGACGTCCCATTGCTCTTAAAACAAATTTCCCTGCTTCTTGTGGATTCCTTGCGTCTCTCCATGCTTCCCTGGTGGGAGGGACTAAACGCAGGGAAACGATGCAAGTGAGGGACGCAAGGATTTCATT